AGCAGGGAGCCCGATGCAGGACTCGATCCCGGGACTCCAGGATCATGACCTGAGCCGAAGGCAGTCGCTTAACCAACTGAGCCACCCAGGTGCCCAAAATTGGTTGTTTTAAGGTTATGAACACTGAGTGGTATAATTGTCTAGGCTTCTCTTTTCCAATTGTCTGATTTATAGTCTGATTTTTGGATCATCTGTAGCAATATAATATAAAATTTTTTTAAAGTCCTCCCAGACCTTGTATTTATCTTTACTTTCCTCACCTTCCTTTTTTTAAAAAAAGGTTTTTATTTAAATTTCAGTTAGTTAACATACGATGTAATATAAGTTTCAGGTCCTTTTTACTTTTATTCTTTTACTCCCACTTTGATTTGGTGCTATGTAGAATGCAGAGTAAAAATCAAGAAATATTACATTTTATGGAAAGAATTTCCTGGGTAGCTTTAAGAAGAGTAATGATGTCTCCACCCAACCATGTGCCAATTAAAATCAGACCTCTACAAGCGGAGCTGGGCATCTGTAATTAAAAAGGAAAAAAAAATCCCCACAGGTGATTCTGATGTGCAGGGGATTAACTGCCCTAGAGAAAAGGTTGCACGTGTGCCAAGAGACAACTGACAATCTATTTAATGCAGTATTATTTGTAATAGGAGAAATGAGAAATAACATAAATGTCCATCAGTAGGGGAAAAGACAAATACCTGTAGTGTACCTGATAAAACAAAGGAAATAGACCCACATATATTATCAGGAACAGAAATCAAAGCATTGAAAGAAAAATCAAGTTTCAGAATACAATAGGAGAACATTTTCTTAAAATTCAGAAAACACATAAAGCAATGCTATATACTCTTCATGGGTACATATATATTGTAGTAAAAATATAAAAATGTGGATTAGAAGTAGATGCAGCAATTTCATGATAATGGTTGCATTTGGGGAGGATTTGGGAATGGGGCCATGAAGGGGACAGAGATAATTTCAGTGCAAAACAATATCTATATTGTTTTATTTCTTTAACCAAAATTAAAATATCTGCAACAAAAATGACAAAATATTGTGCTTTCTTGTTTTGTCATAGTGTCCAAATTTAAAAAAAATAGTCATTTATTCAATAGCAAGTGTTTTTTTTTTTTAAGATTTTATTTATTTATTCATGAGAGACAGAGAGAGAGAGGCAGAGGAGAAGCAGGCTCCCAAGGAGCAGAGAGCCCGATGCGGGGACTCGATCCCAGGACCCTGGGATCATGACCTGAGCCGAAGGCAGACGCTTAACCATCTGAGCCACCCAGGCGCCCAATTGCAAGCTTTTTGAGACTGATATTTTGAAGTTCTGTGCTAGCTACGTTTAAGGACTAAAATGACAATTTATAATTATTTCAGTTTTTTAAAAAAGAATTTGAAGTGTGAGTCATTTACACATTGAAATGTACCCAGAATATCATATACTGCATTAAAATTTTAGTGTACACTTATTTAGACTGAATGGAGGTACTGTGGTAGCAAAGAGCTTCTCAAGTTAGTTGCTGTTAAAGGTTCCAGGTGCAGAAATGAGATTCATCTGCTTGAGCAACTGCAAGGAGGCCAGTGATGTGGAAGCATAGTAAATGACAGAGTGGCTTGGAATAAGTTTGGAGAAGCTGGCAGGGAGCGTGGCAAGAAGTGCGGGGTTTATTTTAATTATAATGAAAAGCTGTTCTAGTGTTTTAAGCAGGAGAGGCAAATTCAGATTTATGCTTCCTAAATGGATCACTTCGGGCGCTGTGCAGAGAATGGACCCCTGGAGAAGGATGGCAAGAATGGGGGGGGAGGGGAGATTGGTTAGCAGTTGTTGCCCTAGTCCACTCGGGAGGTGGTCCAGAGGATGTGGGCTGGGGGATTAGTGGTGGAGATGGTGAGGAGTAAGAGTCTTCAGAATACGTTTTGGAAGTAGAGCTGGTAGGGCTTCCTGGCGGACTGGGGGTGAAGGAGACAGAGGTATCAGGATGAATCCTAGATTTCTTACTGAGCAATCAAGTGGATGATGGTTTCATTTCCTGAAATCCTGGAGACATTGGGGAGAAAGCATTGAGAAGTGGCAATTAAGGGTTAAAGTTAGGGTTATAGTAGGAACTCTATTCACTACTAACTCAAAAGAGATGTTTAAAAATATCACCCTACTTCCTAATCTCCGATCCATGCCCTAGACCACTCCACTACAACTTTTCCTAATCACAGGCACTCGTCCCCTTTCATATGGGTCACTTTTCTGTCTCCTTCTTGGCTTCTCAGTAATAGTCCAGACTTTTAATCACTCCCTCATTCTAAAGCATTTAAAATACAGTATCTGACTTGAAGGAGCTTGTACATAATTAAAAAGGTGTTTTCAATTCAATACGATCATACCCTGGATACAAGGTCCAATCTCCCTGTCCTCTAAGATCTGGTTATTAATTGCCTGCATAGACATGCTACGCCCTGGGGGGGTCAGCTGCCATACCCCAAATTTCTTTGAATTTCAGAGTGAATTAGTTTGGTTATAAATTGTATCTCTTTCTGTTCTAAGTTACACTGTGTCAACCCAGATGGAAACTTAGCTCCATTTCTTGCTTTCCACAAAGTGAAAAATATATTACGTCAAGTTTTAGGGTTTTGTAGCAGATTTGGGGGAGATGGTGAAGATTTACATTGTAGAAATATAAACAGCTAAAGAACTGATTATTATATATTTCTTTTTAAAAGTCCTTTGACTCTTTTTGAAATTCAGACAGCAGTATTTTGTCAAATTGCCCTGGCTTACTTTTTGTACTCCCTTTCCTCACTTTTTTCAGAAGAAAAAAAAATCCTCCCATTTTCTTATCATTAAAATTTAACTTCATCCAGCTCCAACCCTTTGCACGCATATCCAAGAATAGATTGCCGAGTTTAAGGGTAGAATGTGTCCCCCGCTGACTGATTTTCCCTCATGGAATTGGGAGGAAAAGTGAGTGTGTGGCGTGGGCTTTTGAAGCAAGCAGAAGTTGTTCTCTGAATTATAAATATCCTGTGATCCCACAATTCCATTTCTAGGGATAGGTCCTGTGACCGCTTGTACTTTCCAAAGATGGTCAAAGCAGCGTCTCCCTTCCCACATGGTTTTCTGCAGTAGTGACCATACTGAGCCCCCATCAAGGGCAGTTAGACCTCATTCCTTCTACTCTGGAAAATAAGAATCAACCTATTTCTTAACTGATGAGGGTTGAGGTAATATACCCATTTGGGGGGATAATGGCATAGACCCTTTATATAATACTTTTAAAACCCTTAAAGGAGGGCGCTTGTTGTGATGAGCACTGGGTGTTGTATGGAAGTGTTAAGTCACTAAATTCGACACCTGAAACTAAGATTACACTGTAGGTTAAACTAACTGGAATATAAATAAAAACTTGGGAAAACAAAACAAAAAACTCTGAAAGGAAAGCAACAACGTTCCCTTTTCAAGACTGCTGCCACAATTGAAACACCTAAATTTGATTTCTACAGAACCTATTCTTCAGTGGGATCTTGGGACTATAATGACAAAAAATGATATCACCCAAGTCTATCCACATGTGGTGGATCTCAAAGTGGCAAAGTGTCCATGCGCTAATGATGTAGCATTACTTGGCTTCATTTTGAATGCAACATATAATGGTAAGTTCACCGGCTTTACTGAAAGCTGCAGGTGGAGTTTTGTATTTTGTAACAGTGAGTTTTCACTGGCAGAGCAAGTTAGATGCATAAACATAAGGGAGTGAAACCATTTCCGAAAAATACCTGTGACTTTACTCTTTGTCACTTCCCCTTGTCTACCTGCAGGTGCGACTTTTGGCCATGTTCATAGTGACTGTAGTGTCTCTCCTAATTTCACGTATCCCCTGCCACCTCTTAATATGCTATTTCCTCTCCAAGATTATTCACTGCATTTCTAATCCATCTGCTATTCCTGCCATGTGTAAATAAGTATCATGTTCTAAGGCACCATGACATTATTTTATTTATGTATGTGTTTTTAGATTACTACCGTAGTATTTAATAGCATCTTTACGCATTTCAACTACTAATGTATTATTGTAGTTGCTTTTCCTAGGTCATTGGTGACCTTCAAGTCCCTAACCCAATGAATGAAAAGGAAAATAAAAGAACTAAAAGATAAACAAAATTTCATTACTCACAGATAATATGTGCATCCAAAAATCTGAAAGAACCAGTAGCCAAGCTATCAGAACAAATATGGAGTGCTATAGAATTGAGGAATGAAATAACATCTAAAAACCACTCCACCAAAACTAAAGATTATAATTTTTAAAGATCCTACTCAGAAAGTAACAAACCCCAAAAGGTACCTAGGAATAAACAAAGAAAGTTGTAAGGCCTGTTGGACAGAAATTATAAAACTTGAACGAAAGTCATAAAAATACTAAAATAAGATATTTATGTGCATGAACGGGAACTTCTACTATTGTGAAGATGTTAATTCTCTCCAGATTTATCAGTCAGTTCAATACAATTCCAAGAAAAACTACAGCAGTATTTTTTGGTGTGTCTGGAAATTGACAAGCCAATCCCCAAATTCATATGGGAGACTGAAACAATGCGGATAGCATAATTTTAAAGAAGAACAAAAACTTGCCCTCCCGTGACTTCTAAAATAACAGATTCAGACAGTGTGCTTTGGTATAGGGATAAACAAATGGCCTTGCCCCAAATGTCTTTGAATTCCTAATGGCTCAGTTGTTTTGTGTTCTCTAGTTTTGAGAGCCTGCTTTTGCTGAACTGGTTTAGTTGGAAATTGTGTCTCGTCCCCCTCTGTGTCAGCCAGATGGAAACTCAGCTCCTTTTCTAACTTTGTTTCGTAGATGCCAGGCTAGGACCCCCTCCTTCTCTCTCTCCAAACCTGCCTGCCTGCCCTGAGCCACAGGAGAGGAGACTTCCTCAATGCTCTTGTTCCAACCTGCCACGCAGCGGGGAGTCACGGGAGAGAAGGGGCAGCCTCCGCTCCTTGGGATCTCACTCAACCTCTTGAGAAAAGAAATAGCTTTAGCAACTCCGCCTGCCCCACTCCCCAGCTGCCTTCCACTCTACTGAAGCAAAAAAGCAGTTCCCATAGGATCGAGCTGCCACTGTCTAAACTTGTAGTTCCTTTGTGAGGCCCTTGTCTGTCCCCACCCCACCCACCCACCTCCCCCATCCCACGCACCCAGCCCCCGGCCCCCATACCACATGAGGTTAATGGTGGGAACAGGTCTCCGGGAGCCCCTGGGTTCCGGTCTGGACTTGCTACCCACCTACCTCCTCCGTGACGCTCCCAGCACATCTGCCCTGCCTCTCATCCCAGTTTTGTCTGTCACCCTCAGAAACCTAAGCTTCCTGGGTCACTTATGGTTCGTATCCCACACACTGTTCTGGACTTCCTTGAGTTTGACCCAAGCTTTTGTCCATCCACCCAGATCCAGTCGTTGGCATTTGTGGTCTGTCAGCAGCAATCTCCCCCGTACTGCTCATCTTTTCTCTGAATGGCCCCACCTTCCCTTTGCTGCCCTAGAGAGTCAGCTGGCTGGTCCCAGTAACATCCTTTTTCGCGCGCCTCCGCATGTCTCATGCCCAGGGGCGGGGTCATCGTCCTTGCTCCTTGGGGCTACTTCTCAGTATCTACTCTGTCTTCCCTGCTAAATGCCCAGCTGCTTGGAACTCAGACTACCTCCCTGTAACTCCTCCTGGCTGCTAGCCTATGCTAACCTCCCTGGTACTCACACTCCCTCATGGATGACTTCAGCCTCTGGACCCCTGCCTTTCTCTCCACGCTATTTTTGTCACTATTTTCAGTGACTTCACCATCCCATGCAATACTCAGCTTCAAGGCCTCCTCTTCTCCAATGATCTTCCCCCATCTTCTATGGCCACATTCTGGACCTCATCGTCTCCATGGGACTTCACCATCCCATGCAATACTCAGCTTCAAGGCCTCCTCTTCTCCAGTGATCTTCCCCCATCTTCTATGGCCACATTCTGGACCCCCATCGTCTCCTCATCGGCAGCTGGGGAGTGGGGCAGGCAGAGTTGCTAAAGCTATTTCTTTTCTCAAGAGGTTGAGTGAGATCCCAAGGAGCGGAGGCTGCCCCTTCTCTCCCGTGACTCCCCGCTGCGTGGCAGGTTGGAACAAGAGCGTTGAGGAAGTCTCCTCTCCTGTGGCTCAGGGCAGGCAGGCAGGTTTGGAGAGAGAGAAGGAGGGGGTCCTAGCCTGGCATCTACGAAACAAAGTTAGAAAAGGAGCTGAGTTTCCATCTGGCTGACACAGAGGGGGACGAGACACAATTTCCAACTAAACCAGTTCAGCAAAAGCAGGCTCTCAAATGGAGAGGTCTGCAGAATCTCTGCCATGAGCATCTCACACTGTCCACGACCTCCCCATTCAGTCAGTCTCTCCTAGTGCTCTTACTCCAGCACTGCTTTGATTTCACTGAGACTTTCTCCACTTCTCAACACCTTTAATTTTCTCTCTACCCCCCATATAGGTTGCATAGCCCACCCTTACCGATACTTCGGTAACTCCCCTGTTCTGCTCTATCTTGTGTCCCCGTGCAGACCCAACTCTGGGTAAAACCACCTCTACTCCTGCACTGGAAGGGCCAAATGTTGCCAGAGAAAACACTGCACACCAGTCTCACTTTCACATCCCACTGACTGGTCTCACTGTCAGTTCATAATCACCCATCTCAAGTGGGCACTCATCACCACCCAGAAATCCTGTCTCTTTTTGCTGGTAAGTTTGTTTTCCAACTGCAAAATGACCTTATGTCAGACCTCTTCCCACTCCTCCAACCCTCTGCATCGCCTTCTTCCCCTTTCCGCTCTCAGCTATGACTTTATCTCATAGTTCATGTAGAGAACCATGATGGATCACAAGGAACTCCTTCATTATTACACCTGCAAACCTGCCAGTCTACTTGCATTCATACTTGCACACTTTGCCTTCTCGCCTGTTGCATCATGAGAAGAGTCTGCATCTGTCAGAGCCACCCCCAACCCTTGTTCTTCTGGATCCTACTCCCTGCAACCATCCAAGGCACCTCGTGCCTGCATCTCTGCTATAAATGTCACCTTTCCTTCTGCATCACCTGCTCTCCCTCCTCACTGGATTGGGTTCATTAGCATACGAACAAACCCTAATATCTCCCATCCTAAGCATTTCTCTGTTCTCCTTCAAAGCAAAATTTACACAAAGAACTTTTTGTAGATGGTGCTACATTTTCCACCTTCCCACTCTGTCTTCATTCCACTACAGACCAGTGTTTGGTTCTTGCCGCTCTTCTGAAACGTTTCTTCCCAAGATCACCCATGATCTCCATATGGTCAGTTCCAGCAGCCAATTCTTTTTTTTTTTAAGATTTATTTATTTATTTATTTTAGAGAGAGAGAGAGCTCATGCACGAGCTGGGGGAGGGGCAGAGAAAGAAGGAGAAGGAGGAAGCCGACTCCTCACTGAGCGGAACCTGCCCACAGGGATCCATCTCACCACCCTGAGATCATGACATGAGCCAAAATCAAGAGTCTGAGGCTTAACAGACTGAGACCCCCAAGCACCCCCAGCAGCCAATTCTTTATCCTCATTCTACTTTCTTTCCCAGCAGCAGTTGATACAATTGACCACTCTCTCCTCAAAATACTTTATTCTCTTGGCTTGCTCCATACCACCTTTGGTTTTATCCTACCACACCAGTCATTCCTTGGTTTTCTAGACGGGCTTCTCATTGGTGTGATCCCTCAAGTGTTGTTGAACTCAGGACTTTGTCCTAGGCTCTCCTTCCTTAGGGAACCACTTCTCTCTCTGAGAAACTTAACCTAGTCCTTGGAACCTAGAAATGCCGTCTCCAGGCCTGTGATTCCTAAATCTCTATTGCTGGTGCTGACTGCTCCTTGGAGACCAAACGCCTCTATTCAGTTGTCTATTTTACTGAGATGCTTAATGAGCATCTCAAATACAGTAAGTCTGATCCAGAACTCTTGATTCATCTTCTGAAATCTGTTCCTCTCCAGTATTCCTCATCCCAGTTCATATCCAGTTACTCAAAACTAAAATCTAAAACCCATTCCTGACCACTCTTACTCTCACGACATTCCAGGACGGTGCTGTACCCAGTGTGTATCCCGAGCGTGACCACTTCTCCCCTCTACTGAAATCTTAAATCAACATTGGTTTTCCATGAGACTAATTCATAACTTCTTTTTTAAATTTTATTTTATTATGTCATCATTAGTTTTGATGTAGTGTTCCATGATTCATTGTTTGCGTATAACACCCAGTGCTCCATTCAATCCGTGCCCTCTTTAATACCCATCACCAGGCTAACCCATCCTCCCACCCGCCTCCCCTCTAGAACCCTCAGTTTGTTTCTCAGAGTCCA